TCTTTCCGGATATTCTATAAAAAATGAGAGTAACCCCAGTCCATAAATTTGGTGATCTCACTGATGTCAAGAATTACAGACCTATATCAATTCTACCAACCTTGTCAAAAATATTTGAAAAGCTAATCTACAAGCAGCTTTACTCTTATCTAGCCAAACACAATATACTTAGCTCTTGCCAATATAGTTTTAGACCCAAAAAAAGCACTAACAATGCACTTATTAGTATGGTTAACTTGATTCACGCAGCTCTTGATAAAAAGGAGTTCCCTGTTGGGTTATTTGTGGACCTGCGTAAGGCTTTTGACACTGTCAACCACCAAAACCTTCTTCTTAAATTACATCATTATGGAGTCAGAGGACACTCCCTCCAATACCTTCAGTCTTACCTTACTGACAGGCTCCAGTATGTTGCTGTGAATAATTCCATTTCTCCCACCCTACCCATCAACATTGGTGTTCCTCAGGGCAGCATACTTGGCCCTCTCCTCTTTCTCATCTACATTAATGACCTTCCAAATGCCTCCCAACACCTCAAACCAATTCTATTTGCTGACGACACAACCTTCATTTACTCCAGTCCTGACTCCCTTGCTCTAAATGCCACTGTAAATACTGAACTAAATAAAGTCCATCTTTGGCTAACTGCCAACAAACTCACCCTTAACATTGACAAAACTTTCTATATTTTGTTTAGTAATAAATCCTCTAATCAAATTAATCTAAGAATAAACAATACCCAAATTAGTAACAAAGTTGATGGTAAATTCCTTGGCGTTCTCATCGACCACAAGCTGAATTTCCAGGGACACATTCTAAATATATCAAAAAAGTTTCTAAAACTGTTGGCATTCTTTCTAAGATCAGATATTATGTACCTCGCCCTGGCCTGGTGACGCTCTATTACTCCCTCATCTATCCATATCTCAACTATGGTATTTGTGCTTGGGGTTCTACTACCCAAAATCATTTACGTCCTCTAATTACTCAACACAAAGCTGCTATTAGAACAATATCGAACTCTGGCCCCAGACATCACTCGGTACCCCTACTCAAATCTCTGAATATGTTAGACATTAAGTCACTGCACATTCTCTCATGTGTATTATACATATATAAAACGCTGAACTGTAATGCCAATCCTGACCTCAAAAGCTTCCTAGAAGGTTGTAACAGAACCCATGAGCACCACACCAGAAATAAATACAGTTTTGATATTCCAAGAGTACGACTTAATCAAACTAGAAATGCTCTACAAATCAAGGGACCCAGAATGTGGAATGACCTTCCCGACCATGTTAAAGACTGTACCTCTCTCAACCAGTTTAAGATAAAAACTAAACACTACCTAATTAACTCCATGTAACCTACCTTTTTTTTTTTAGTTTAGTTCATTTATTATACACCCCATACCCATCCAGTGGGCAGCGGTGGATAGGTTACAGTCACTTACTTACTACCTACAGTTAGTAAACTGGGGATATTTGGCTAAAATTTCTACCCCTCAAATTGTCAACTCCACGTCTTGGTATTTTCAAACAATACTGTTTGTTGACCAAGTTGTATAATGGCTGATTTCTGCCATGTTCCCGCCCCCCCCCCCATTTATTTTTGTCTACATAATATATACTTTAATCTCAATTACTATTAAGTTTTAATCTAAGTGTTTTTCCTGCCCGAAACGCTAAGCGTATTAGTTGCTTTAGGCATTATATGTACTACCTCTGTCTATAAATCCAACATTATGTTTGTAACTCATCTGCTATGTATGTACATTTACCTGAATAAACATTTGGATATTATTTGATTTGGTATGGGGTCCACGTTTGGCATTTACGTCTTCAGCGGGTAGGCTGTTCCACGGGTTTACAACCCTGTCAGGGAGAAAAGCATCTCCTGTTTCATATCCTTCGGGCCAGATTCACGAAGCAGTTACGCAAGTACTTACGAACGTGTACATCTTTCCTCAATCTTTGACGGCTTTGGTTACATTTATTAAACAGTTTACAAGCATGAAAACTTGCAAATCAACTGTTGTTATTGTTATAAACAGCCTCCTGGTGCTTCGGAGCTCATTAACTGTTTAATAATTGTAAACAAAGCCGCCAAAAAATAAGAAAAGATATACAGGTTCGTAAGTGCTTGCGTAACTGCTTCGTGAATCTGGCCCCGAGGTCCCCCCCCCTTCCCCCCCAGGGTGGTCTTACTGGCCCTCCCCAGGATGCAACACCCACAACAGTTGACTAACTCCCGGGTACCAATTTACTGCTAGGTGAACAGAGGCTATAGTTAAGGATTGGCGCCCAGTCAATCCTCCCCCGGCCGGGATTCGAACTCTGGCCAAATTGCTTGCGAAGTGTGAGGCGAGTGTGTTACCACTGCGCCACAGGGAGGTTCTTGAGATGATTTGATTGATTGGGGTGGATTAGTGGATTAGGCAAACTACCAGACTACCCACGAATCCTACACTGCTTGAATCCTATATGTCTGTGTGTGAACTTTTGTCAAAATACAACGTTTATATGTCTACTCTGTTACAAGTGACCACCTATCAACCTCTGGAGGGTTATTAAGGTCTGTCAACCTCTGGAGGGTTATTAAGACCTATCAACCTCTGGAGGGTTATTAAGGCCTATCAACCTCTGGAGGGTTATTAAGGTCTGTCAACCTCTGGAGGGTTATTAAGACCTATCAACCTCTGGAGGGTTATTAAGGTCTGTCAACCTCTGGAGGGTTATTAAGACCTATCAACCTCTGGAGGGTTATTAAGGTCTGTCAACCTCTGGAGGGTTATTAAGGTCTATCAACCTCTGGAGGGTTATTAAGGTCTATCAACCTCTGGAGGGTTATTAAGGCCTATCAACCTCTGGAGGGTTATTAAGACCTATCAACCTCTGGAGGGTTATTAAGACCTATCAACCTCTGGAGGGTTATTAAGGTCTATCAACCTCTGGAGGGTTATTAAGGTCTATCAACCTCTGGAGGGTTATTAAGGCCTATCAACCTCTGGAGGGTTATTAAGGTCTGTCAACCTCTAGAGGGTTATTAAGGCCTATCAACCTCTGGAGGGTTATTAAGACCTATCAACCTCTGGAGGGTTATTAAGGTCTATCAACCTCTGGAGGGTTATTAAGGTCTATCAACCTCTGGAGGGTTATTAAGGCCTATAAACCTCTGTAGGGGTTATTAAGGCCTATCAACCTCTGGAGGATTATTAAGGCCTATCAACCTCTGGAGGGTTATTAAGGCCTATCAACCTCTGGAGGGTTATTAAAGCCTATCAACCTCTGGAGGGTTATTAAGGCCTATCAATCTCTGGAGGGTTATTAAGGCCTATCAATCTCTAGAGGGTTATTAAGGCCTATCAACCTCTGGAGGATTATTAAGGCCTATCAATCTCTGGAGGGTTATTAAAGCCTATCAATCTCTGGAGGGTTATTAAGACCTATCAATCTCTAGAGGGTTATTAAGGCCTATCAACCTCTGAAGGGTTATTAAGGCCTATCAACCTCTGAAGGGTTATTAAGACCTATCAACCTCTGGAGGGTTATTAAGGCCTATCAACCTCTGGAGTGTTATTAAGACCTATCAACCTCTGGAGGGTTATTAAGGTCTGTCAACCTCTAGAGGGTTATTTAGGCCTATCAACCTCTGGAGGGTTATTAAGGTCTATCAACCTCTGGAGGATCATTAAGGCATATCAACCTCTGGAGGGTTATTAAGGTCTATTAACCTCTGGAGGGTTATTAAGGCCTATCAACCTCTGGAGGGTTATTAAGGCCTATCAACCTCTGGAGGGTTATTAAGGCCTATCAACCTCTGGAGGGTTATTAAGGCCTATCAACCTCTGGAGGGTTATTAAGGCCTATCAACCTCTGGAGGGTTATTAAGGCCTATCAACCTCTGGAGGGTTATTAAGGTCTATCAACCTCTGGAGGGTTATTAAGATCTATCAACCTCTGGAGGGTTATTAAGGCCTATCAACCTCTGGAGGATTATTAAGACCTATCAACCTCTGAAGGGTTATTAATTAAGGTCCGTCAACCTCTGGAGGATTATTAAGACCTATCAATCTCTAGAGGGTTATTTAGGCCTATTAACCTCTGAAGAGTTATTAAGGTCTATTAACCTCTTTTAAAAAGTTTTTATCTAATGTCTTTGCGGTTCATTTGGGACAGTACTAAGTGTTGGGTTCGCGTACTTCCATGTTAAATTGTTATTATTTACCTTCTCGATTCCTCTGAGAATTTTGTAGGTGGTGATCATGTCTTCCTTGACTCTTCTGTCTTCCAGCGACGTGAGGTTTATTTCCAGTAGCTTTTCATCATAACTCCTACCTCTCAGCTCTGGGACTAGTCTGATGGTATACCTCTGTTATATATGATTACAACTATAAGTTTTTGTTCTCTAATTGCTATGGCACCTGTTAAGTAGTTACTGAAACCTTCACAGCCCTGAATAACCATCTCAAAACTCCAGCCTTTTCTTACCAGCAGAGCTACTCCACCTCATACTCCTCTTCCTTCTCTCTCTCTTTCCGCATAACACAGTAGTTCTGTGGTAACACTGCATCTGTTAGGGTTTTCGTTAGCTTTGTTTCTGTGAGTGCTATTATGTCTGGGTTTTCTTTTAGTGCCCATTCTCCAAGATCATTTATTTGTAATCCCATCTATGTTAGTGTACATTGCCTTGTGTGTGTGTGTGTGTGTGTGTGTGTGTGTGTGTGTGTGTGTGTGTGTGTGTGTGTGTGTGTGTGTGTGTGTGTGTGTGTGTGTGTGTTCCCAACGACCAAAATATAACATAATAATAATCATAGCAGCTCACACACACAAAAATGATGCAATGTCTCGTTTTCTTTTTGAGGGTCAAAAGGCTAGGTTAAGTTCATGCAACTTAGTACACCATTTAAGTGACGTTGTGACCGCGATAGGCCGGGCTGGTGTGTGTCTGTGGGAGACACAATGCACAGGGGAACTGTAGAGGGAAATTCAAACAAGAAGAATGTATAATTTTGCATATAATCACACTTTAATGAGCATGAATAAACAAGATAATTATTTACATGGGTTACTATTTCTTAATCTAGATGTGGAAGTATATAGTTAATAAAATGCAATTTCACTATGTAAATATTGAAATGCTTTGGATAAGACATAAGTTTTAAGGACGTATTAATTATCAAGAAATTGAAAAAAAATTTCCCCTAGGAACAAGTAAAGAATTAGGTTTAATTTATATTATATAAACTGATTATTACACATTATCTTTTATGCTATTTAGGTTAACTGATGACTCCAAGCTAGTAAGATCTTGAGATATATAGCAATATATTCAATTATTTATGCACAGTAGCTATATATGTGTGTATATATAATATATTAGAAAAATGTCGATAAAGTTTCTAAACTAGCTAGACTAGAATTGTGTGCGAGTATCGTTGAAGAATTTCATAATTACATAATAATTACAATATACACAACAATTTCATTACAATCACTTAATTTTTTCACATAAAAATTATATAAATATATTTCAACTTACTAAACTTTCTGAGAGAGAGAAATTTCTCCCTCACAGTCATCATGTTCAATATTAACACAATCTAGAAGATTCTAGAATGAAATATGAGTTAAAAAAATTATTCTTAAACCACACTTAGAAATATAAATCCATAATACCTTATCACGCCTGTACTAAAAATCATGTACAAAATAATTTATTAATACATTAAAAAAACGCAAATTTTTCACACATTTCAGAAAAAAATAACAATAATTAGAGGCTTTTCTTCAGTATTCATCACAAAGCGATGCTTTATATATTACGTAAAGGAAGCAATGGTATTTTTATGTTAAATTTTTCTTGAAGCATTTTCTGATGCTGAATTGGCAGGTGGTATTAATTTAAGAATATTTACATTAAAAAAGTCAATAACGAATATATAGTGTAGTCTAATAGACATTATTAGGTTTTAAGTCAATTAAAATTCTATTATTTTAGGAAAGTTTCATCGAACGGCAGTGATTGGCCCGTTCATATCCTGGTGCCCGAAGCTCATTGGCCGAGTCATTTGCCGCGCGCTAAAAAAGGATAGCGATCTCAATGGTGATTGGTTATTTACATAAAGGTGCGGGTAGAGGTAGCCAATGAGTGACTGGCATATAAATCTTGGCCAAACATGTGTGAGAAAATGTTTCTCCATTGACTCAAAAATTGAACAGCTTATTGGAGGAAAGTATTGAGACATTTATATATTATAGGTCTCCGCGGAGACAACATGCGAGTAGGCCTACGGCCATGATATAAGCCAGGGTGAACTTGGCCATTTTGCAGAGTTCTGAAACCGGTTAACGGTTCTTTGAAATCAAATTTTACACAGTGACTAATCCACGGTGACTGTGTGCTCCCTCACCATCGCTCCATCACCAAGACCACCTCTCCAACGCTGCCACCACCACCATCACCATCACCGCTCTCGCTCCTCCAGCTCTTGGGCCACAACCTGCAAATTGGTAATAAATCTTAACACTCACACACACTTTGGGGGCCTCGCGGCTGAGTGGACAGCGCTCTGGGATCATAGTTCTAAGGGCCCGGGTTAGTTAACAATTAACAACTCTGCCCCCGACAGAGGCAGAAACAAATTGGAAGAGTTTCTTTCACCTTGTTGTCCCTGTTCACCTATCAGTAAATAGGTACTTGGGAGTTGGACAGCTGCTATGGGCTGCTTCCTGGATGTGTGTGTTAGAGAAATGTAGTAGACATAATAGAGAACAAATAAATTGGTTAGATAGGCGGGGTTCCAGAGCTAATTGCTCGATTCTGCAGACACAAATAGTAAATACACACACATACAAAATATTAGAAAAAGTAATTAAAACTAAATGGGTAGAACTGGAGACAAACGATACAGTATCAGACAGACAGTATGGGTTTCGATCTGGAAGATCCTGTGTATCGAATTTACTCAGTTTCTATGATCGGGCCACAGAGATATTACAGGAAAGAGATGGTTGGGTTGACTGCATCTATCTGGACCTAAAAAGGAAAGAGATGGTTGGGTTGACTGCATCTATCTGGACCTAAAAAGGAAAGAGATGGTTGGGTTGACTGCATCTATCTGGACCTAAAAAGGAAAGAGATGGTTGGGTTGACTGCATCTATCTGGACCTAAAAAGGAAAGAGATGGCTGGGTTGACTGCATCTATCTGGACCTAAAAAGGAAAGAGATGGCTGGGTTGACTGCATCTATCTGGACCTAAAAAGGAAAGAGATGGCTGGGTTGACTGCATCTATCTGGACCTAAAAAGGAAAGAGATGGCTGGGTTGACTGCATCTATCTGGACCTAAAAAGGAAAGAGATGGCTGGGTTGACTGCATCTATCTGGACCTAAAAAGGAAAGAGATGGTTGGGTTGACTGCATCTATCTGGACCTAAAAAGGAAAGAGATGGTTGGGTTGACTGCATCTATCTGGACCTAAAAAGGAAAGAGATGGTTGGGTTGACTGCATCTATCTGGACCTAAAAAAGGCTTTCGACAGAGTTCCACATAAGAGAAACAGTCTGGAAACTGGAACACATTGGTAATTTTTTTATTATTATTATTTTCTACCACAGACGTGGCCAGACATTTACAATGCTAACCAGCATATATACATTTTCTTCTGTCCTCCATGGACAGGGTTAGAGAAGTGTTAAACATATAGTTCAAGGGTTTATTGAACACTCAACCACAGAAGGTGATTCGCTGCTTTTAAAATTTTAAACATGGAGGTGCTCTCAGGGGAGCCGGGTACATGGAGGTACTCTCAGGGGAGCCGGGTACATGGAGGTACTCTCAGGGGAGCCAGGTACATGGAGGTACTCTCAGGGGAGCCAGGTACATGGAGGTACTCTAAGGGGAGCCATGTACATGGAGGTACTCTCAGGGGAGCCAGGTACATGCAGGTACTCTCAGGGGAGCCAGGTACATGGAGGTACTCTCAGGGGAGCCATGTACATGGAGGTACTCTCAGGGGAGCCAGGTACATGCAGGTACTCTCAGGGGAGCCTGGTACATGGAGGTACTCTCAGGGGAGCCAGGTACATGCAGGTACTCTCAGGGGAGCCAGGTACATGGAGGTACTCTCAGAGGAGCCAGGTACATGCAGGTACTCTCAGGGAAGCCAGGTACATGGAGGTACTCTCAGGGGAGTCAGGTACATGGAGGTACTCTCAGGGGAGCCAGGTACATGCAGGTACTCTCAGGGGAGCCAGGTACATGGAGGTACTCTCAGGGGAGCCAGGTACATGGAGGTACTCTCAGGGGAGCCAGGTACATGAGCCAGGTACATGGAGGTACTCTCAGGGGAGTCAGGTACATGGAGGTACTCTCAGGGGAGCCAGGTACATGCAGGTACTCTCAGGGGAGCCAGGTACATGGAGGTACTCTCAGGGGAGCCAGGTACATGGAGGTACTCTCAGGGGAGCCAGGTACATGCAGGTACTCTCAGGGGAGCCGGGTACATGGAGGTACTCTCAGGGGAGCCAGGTACATGGAGGTACTCTCAGGGGAGCCAGGTACATGGAGGTACTCTCAGGGGAGCCAGGTACATGGAGGTACTCTCAGGGGAGCCATGTACATGGAGGTACTCTCAGGGGAGCCAGGTACATGCAGGTACTCTCAGGGGAGCCTGGTACATGGAGGTACTCTCAGGGGAGCCAGGTACATGCAGGTACTCTCAGGGGAGCCAGGTACATGGAGGTACTCTCAGAGGAGCCAGGTACATGCAGGTACTCTCAGGGAAGCCAGGTACATGGAGGTACTCTCAGGGGAGTCAGGTACATGGAGGTACTCTCAGGGGAGCCAGGTACATGCAGGTACTCTCAGGGGAGCCAGGTACCTGGAGGTGCTCTCAGGGGAGTCAGGTACATGGAGGTACTCTCAGGGGAGTCAGGTACATGGAGGTACTCTCAGGGGAGCCAGGTACATGCAGGTACTCTCAGGGAAGCCAGGTACATGCAGGTACTCTCAGGGGAGCCAGGTACATGCAGGTACTCTCAGGGGAGCCAGGTACATGGAGGCAGAAGCTTGTAGACTCTGCAATGATAAACTTCCTGAGCCAAGACCGCAAATGAAGTAACGCCAATAATGAGAAATATAAGCGTACCACTGACACTACACTTTTCACTGACACTTCCAACCCTACAACCCCACCCTACAACCTCCCCTTACAACCCTACAACCCCACCCTACAACCCTACAACCCGAGCCTACCGGAGACGGCGGAGACGTCTCTGGACTCCATGACGGGGACGCTGTAGGTCATGTGGCCGTCGACACTGTGTTGTTGGGTCTTGTAGTAGAGGCTGGAGATCTTGGCACTGCATCGGACCGTCATCTCTCCTCCCAGGAAGTGTTGACGCGTGACCCGGAAGTGGAGCCCCAGACGCGTCTCCACCAGTCCTCCGGGGTACTGGCTACTGGTCATGGGTACTAGGTACTGTATGGGTGCCTGTAGGGGGGGGGGGAAGTACACATCAACCCTAACCTAACCAATGCCTAAATATGTACAATATGCTATTGTAAAGCAATATTAATTTATGTTTGAGAATTTTTTTTATTTTTAATCAACATCCATGTTAAAATTTATGAATGCGTTTTTGGGGTCGACCGCTGGATGGAATGGACTTGGTTGAAATTCTTCACTCATTTAGTTCATATACATATAACAAACAACGAAAGCTAACTCTTACCTAACTTAAATATGTATAATATGCTAATATATAATATTAATTTATATACGAGAAAATGTCTATTTTGAATGAATATTATGTTAATGAGTCTTTGGGGTCGGCCGCTGGATGGAATGAACATACCCTGGGAACTGGCTGCTAAATCTTGACAAATCATGTTGATCAGACCACACACTAGAAGGTGAAGGGACGACGACGACGTTTCGGTCCGTCCTGGACCATTCTCAAGTCGATTGTGAGGTCCAGGACGGACCGAAACGTCGTCGTCCCTTCACCTTCTAGTGTGTGGTCTGGTCAACATTCTTCAGCCATTGTGACTCATCGCCTTGAGAAATCTTATTATTAAACCTTGCTGGAAGGTCAACTTGGCTGTGAACTTTGACCCCAACAGAGCCTACACAATACTAACCTCCTCGTCATTGATGAACCAGGTCAGTTGGGCCGGAGGTCGTGACCTGGCTGATATACAGGTCAGGTTAGCTGTGTCGCCAACGTGGTACTGGTGTTTCGTGCCATAGATGACCGGCTTCTCCTCCGGTATCTCTGTGGACATAGAACAGCTTTGGCAACATTTGTTTGGTGTTGGGCTTAAGGTCTATCAACCTCTGGAGGGTTATTAAGGCCTATCAACCTCTGGAAGGTTATCAAGACCTACCAACCTCTGGAGGGTTATCAAGGCCTATCAACCTCTGGAGGGTTATTAAGACCTATCAACCTCTGGAGGGCTATTAAGACCTATCAACCTCTGGAGGGTTATTAAGACCTATCAACCTCTGGAGGGTTATTAGGACCTATCAACCTCTGGAGGGTTATTAAGACCTACCAACCTCTGGAGGGTTATCAAGACCTATCAACCTCTGGAGGGCTATCAAGACCACCACAATAACTTATTGACCAACCAGGAAGTATTCGGTCATAGGAGAACTTACCGAAGACAGTCATAGGAGAACTTACCGAGGACAGTCATAGGAGCACTCCTGTCAGTAGTGAAGAAGTTGGGCCACTCAGCGATCACCTCACACTTGTACTGACCCGAAGTGTTAACGTCCACACTAGACAGGATCACTCGCTCTCCGGTAGGCCTAGACAGTTCCTTCTGTCGGCATAGGTGGAGGGTGGTTACTTATAGCAACTAGGATTTATGTAGGATTAATGGCTATAGGGAGAATTGTGGATTATTGTTACCAGTTGACAGGATTTACGTAGGATTAATATCTGTGTTTTGATACAATTGAGGAATATTAGCAGTAGACAGGATTTACACCGGATTTATATCTTCGTTTTAGGAAGAACTGGGGGATTATTCTTTTAAACCAGGATTTGGATAGGATTAATGGCTAGGTTTTTGTTAGAATTGCGCATTGCAACCAGAAGATAGGATTTATATCGCAGGATTTATACCGGATTAATAGCTCTGGTGTTGACAGAGATGGGGATTACTCACAGGAACCAGGATTTAAATAGAATTAATGACTATTTTTGAAGATGGAACTTAAACAACGGATTATATTTTTTAATCGGATTTACATTAAATTGCAAAGTGATTAGATTTTATTGAGCAAAGAAGAGTTGCTTAAAGAGTTGCAATACTTCGGTATGATTGTAAATGACTAAATTGCTCTATCAATTCAGATTGCTTCTACTACCCAAAATCATCTACATACTTTATTTACTCAACACAAAGCTGCTATTAGGACAATATCTAACTCTGGCCCCAGACATCACTCGGTACCCCTACTCAAATCTTTGAATATGTTAGATATTAAGTCACTGCACATTCTCTCATGCGTTATCTTGAGGTTATCTTGAGATGATTTCGGGGCTTTTTAGTGTCCCCGCGGCCCGGTCCTCGACCAGGCCTCCACCCCCAGGAAGCAGCCCGTGACAGCTGACTAACACCCAGGTACCTATTTACTGCTAGGTAACAGAGGCATTCAGGGTGAAAGAAACTTTGCCCATTTGTTTCTGCCTCGTGCGGGAATCGAACCCGCGCCACAGAATTACGAGTCCTGCGCGCTATCCACCAGGCTACGAGGCCCCTATACGTACTGTGCGTATTCTATATAAATAAATAAATAAATATATAAAATATATATATTTAAAACTCTGAACTGTAATGTCAATACTGAGCTTAAAAGCTTCCTAGAAGGTTGTAACAGAACCCATGAGCACCACCGTTCATGTGGGAGGCGGTGGGAGTCATGTCGGTCGGCCGAGCGGACAGCGCGCTGGACTTGTGATCCTGGGTTCGATCCCGGGCGCAGGCGAGAAACAATGGGCAGTTTCTTTCACCCTATGCCCCTGTTACCTAGCAGTAAAATAGGTACCTGGGTGTTAGTCAGCTGTCACGGGCTGCTTCCTGGGGGTGGAGACCTGGTCGAGGACCGGGCCGCGGGGACACTAAAGCCCCGAAATCATCTCAAGATAACCACACCAGAAACAAATACATTTTTGATATTCCAAGAGTACGAATTATCCAAACTAGAAATGCTCTACAAATCAAGGGACCCAGAATGTGGAATGACCTTCCCAACCATGTTAAAGACTGTACCTCTCTCAACCAGTTTAAGAGTTAAACTAAGTACTACCTAATTAACTCCCTGTAACCTACCTTACCCCTAAATGTCAACCCATATCTTGGTATTTTCCCCAAAAATTATTATTGGCAAACTTGTTTAACTGCTGATATCTGCCATGTATAAACTTGTACAAAAACATGTATACACAAAAAATTGTAGTCTGTTTATTTAATTAAAATGACTTCTGATAGTTACAATTACTGCTTTTCCATCAACATATAAATACTATCATTCTATTTCTTATTTTTTTCAGTCCAATTCATTATTTTGATCTCAACTATTTTGTCTTATTTCCTTAAGTGTTTTCTCACACCTCGCCCGAAACGCTGTGCGTATTAGTGGCTTAAAGCACAGCATGTATTACCTCTATCTAGAAAGCCAACATTCTGTTCGTAAATCATTTTGTATGTATGTACGTTTACCCGAATAAACATTACCATAACATGTTCTTTTTACCCATTAGTTTTAAGCTTTAGTCATTAGTGTTTTTTCCTGCCCGAAACGCTTTGCGTAATAGTGGCTTTAGGCATTGTATGTACTAGCTCTATCTATAAAGCCAACAAACTTTGTAAAATCTCTTTATGTATGTACCTTTACCTAAATAAATATTATTATTATTATTATCACAAAATTATGGTTTAAATATTTTTTTAAGCTACACATAGGTAATGGGGAATTTGCAACGTTCCGGGATAATTCTGGACGCTGATTAAGTCTTGAGCCATTATCATATCGACTGGAAGATTCCTGTCCCAAATTAATAGCTGCTCACATTCCTTAGAGACAGAGAGACATGTCCTGAATTTAAATTTTAATTTCACTAAACTTGATTCCATAGAATTGTAGTTCATCACATTGGATTACATTCGCCGGAATTAAATTCCATAAAAAAGTGTTGCATTCAAGCTTAATCGGCAATTAAACAATTCCCTTGTACAAACAACAGATAATTTCATCACTATTAACTACAAAACAAAATTTGCATTTTTATTACCAATCAGAACTGGCAGTTTCGAATTAATTATCAGTGATAATTGCTTTGATAATCGAGCTATAATGACTTGTAATTACGCTAATCACTTCAGCAATTAATTTTGCCATGGTGTTCTTTTTTAGTATGCCCTTGAGTTCGTCTGCCTGTCTGCACGCGACTGTTTACACTCAGTCCGCAGTCATCAACACAGGAACTGCTATATTCAGTCTTAACAATAAGTCTGCTTTGTCGGTCTATTTCTCGCTCTGTCTATTTTCTTCTCTGTCTGTCAGCTCATTGATCCGCCTGTCAGTACCTCCGTCGGTTGAACGATTATGAGTAAATTGCATAAATATAAAATGCTGGATTCCATTATTGGGGTCAGGAAGTCTGTTCGAATTATTCAGGTAAAAGTTTGTTAATGGAGGGAATGGAGGAAAGTCATCCAACAGTCACCTGTCCGGTTACTTGCCAAATTTAACCGTGCTTAAATTGACACGTGCATTTTTCAGTGACTATTATTTTTTAACAAAGCCAATTAATACGGATAGTTTCGTATATGGTTTATCAGAAGGGGATATATACTCACAGAGCTATATCCCAGGGTGAATATATCCCTATAGGAGTATTATCACCTCGGTGTATAAACATGGATTTTGATGCAGCCTCGCGACTAGTTTATTGTGCACCCCATACTCATCCTGTGAGCGGTAGCGCAAAAAGCATTACAGAGGGCACAAAAGGTCTTTATCAGACCTCATCTTAGATTATTACATAAACAATTTCATCTATCCTTCACACCTTATAGTTACGGAGTATACTTTAGTCCTATGCCTGGACAAAAGTACACCTTTTGGTCCACCAGCCTGGTGGACCAAACTCTCACAAGTCAAGCCTGGCCTCGAGCCGCTCCAAGCAACAGCCTGGTGGACCAAACTCTCACAAGTCAAGCCTGGCCTCGAGCCGCTCCAAGCAACAGCCTGGTGGACCAAACTCTCACAAGTCAAGCCTGGCTTTGGGCCGCTCCAAGCAACAGCCTGGTGGACCAAACTCTCACAAGTCAAGCCTGGCTTTGGGCCGCTCCAAGCAACAGCCTGGTGGACCAAACTCTCACAAGTCAAGCCTGGCTTTGGGCCGCTCCAAGCAACAGCCTGGTGGACCAAACTCTCACAAGTCAAGCCTGGCCTCGGGCCGGGCTTGGGGAGTAGAAGAACTCCCAGAACCCCATCAACCAGGTATCAACCAGGTACCTGCTGGTTGGTCAACAAACTGTCGTTGTGGCCTGAATTACCCTCCAGAGGTTGATAGGCTTCAATAATTAACCCTGATTAGGTTGATAGGCCCAACAGCAAACCCTACAACTTTACAACCGCTTCGTATGTATTCACCGAGTTGTGCTTGCGGGAGTTGAGCTTTGCTCTTTCTCAACTGTCAATCAACTGTTACTAACTACTACTAACTAATTTTTTTTATTCATTTTTTTTTCTCACACCCCCCCCCCAGGAAGCAGCCCGTAACAGCTGTCTAACTCCCAGGTACCTATTTATTGCTAGGTAACAGGGGCAACAGGGTGAAAGAAACTCTTACCATTTTTGTTTCCGGCGGCGTTGGGAATTGAACCCCTGACCACAGGACTACGTATGCAGCGTGCTGTCCACTCAACCACCAGCGCCCATGTGCGTGTGTGTGTACTCACCTAGTTGTGCTTGCGGGGGTTGAGCTTCGTCTCTTCGGTCTAGCTTCTCAACTGTCAATCAACTGATGTACAGATTCCTGAGCCTATTGGGCTCTATCATAACGAATCTACACATGATACTGTGTATGGAGTCAGCCTCCACCACATCACTGCCTAATGCATTTCCATTTGTAAACAACACTGACACTATAAAAGTTCTTTCTAATGTTTCTTTAGCTCATTTTGGGTACTCAATTTCCACCTATGTCCCCTTGTTCCTATTGTGTTAAAAAAAAGTCTCTATCTATCCTATCAATTCTTATAAGAATCTTGTATATGGTGATCATGTCTCCCCATAACTTCTGTCTTCCAACGACGTGAGGTTCAGTTCCCGTAGTCACTCCTCATAGCTCATGCCCCTCAGCTCGGGTAATAGTCTGGTGGCAAACCTCTGAACCTTCTCCAATTTAGTCTTGTGCTTGACGAAATATGGACTTTATGCTGGAGTTGCATACTCCAGTGTTTGTCTGACTTATGTGGAATACAAGGTTTCTATATAATGATTCCTTTACTCAAGTTTCTAAAGTTGTGTGTGTGCGGTGGTCGTGGGTTTGTGGTTCTAACGTGGGGCAACAATTTTCTTATGGCTGGCAGCTAGAAAATATGATCTCGCTGCAAATTTCTTCGAAAACGTTATATAATACAGCCCCATTACGCGATAAATTTACGTCCGCAGGGAAAGTCTTTGTGGTTGCGTGTTGGTCGGTTGCTCGCGGCCTGTAGACGCACAGATATATATTTAGATAGATATCTGAAGCCTACAATGTGTTTCTCCATTGTCGACTCAAGTTCTATAGTAGACATTAAAG